ATATATATATATATATATATATAGACATTAGACAGGTAGACATTATGCTACCTCTAAAGCCTTTCAGTAGCCTACAGTAAAGTAAAAAAGAGATTTTGGTGTCATAAAATAATCCCCAAACAGCTGTCAATATCAAACAAAAAAAATTGTTTAAAGTGTTTTTAAATCAGTTTGTAAACTACATTGGCACAATCATCAGAGATGAACCAGTCAAAAGTCATTATTTGTGTCGGCTGAATGCAATGCAAAATTTTTCTGAGAATGCAATAGCATTATTTTTATTTTTTTTTTAACCACCATGTCCCTTTAGGGGCTCCGTAGAGCACAAGTAATCCAGATTTGTAAATCTGAAAAAGTGTGTATCTGGATGATTGAGAGCCAATCCAATTTTACTTTGAAAGACCAGCAGAAAAGAAAGATGTGAAGAGACTGTTTTATTCTTACCTTTATAGTCCTAAAAGTCCATTCATACATTCGGCAAATTATAACTACTAATACGAGGGTGTGCGATGCTAGAGTTATGTAAACAGGTCGCGTGCTGCGTTCATCCAATCAGTGACATTGACACCAAATATGCAAATAAGAACGTTAACCTGGGGTTTAGGAATGTACAGTGTGAAACATCATTTTATGAATAAACAGCATTAATTTTTAACCCGGGTAAATTATGAGTAGTGTGAAACGTGAAGTAAAAATTTTATTCAATTTACCTGGTGTTTAAAATGACACGGGTTAACTATTTCATATGTGAAAAGCCCTATGTAGGACACTTCTGTTAAGAAGTGCTTTAAACTACTTGGATACCAAAAAATTGCTTAGAACCCTAATTTAAGGTTTAAAAAAGGACAACAGTTTGTGAGCCTTAACACAGTCCCAATAGTTTATATTTTAAATCAAAATTCTATTCCACATATTTTGATTTACTGAAACGCTGTCCTTGTGCAAGCGCAAATCTACATTGTGGGTTTGTTTCTAAGTCTGACTCAGAATTCTGACTCTGCTAAAAACAACTGGTTCAAAAACAGACGTATTCATTCCCCGGCCAATGCAAATACACACACTCTGGAGGTTGTACAGAAATAGCACTGCCCTACATTGACAATACGTGCATGTGCCTGTAATGTTTTAAATAAGACTGTCATAATTCTGGAAATAGATCATTCACAGGTGTGCAGGTGTTTACATTTCAAACTATTATTTACATCATGTTGAAAAAAAGACTTGAACCAAGTTGTGACAGCTTTGAGCAGCAGTTCTGAGTGCATATGGTAGTACAGACATCACAAAGTAGACAGAAACAATGAGACGGTTTGCATTTGTAATATGAAAAAAATAGTAATGCATGTGAGAAACAGTAAGATGTTATTTTCACATCTTCAGTCCCTTCTTCTTCAAGTCCTCTTTGGCTTCTTTTATTTGTGCTTGCAACTCTTTGGCTGCGTCCTCACAGTCATTAAATGTGGCCACACGGTAGCCGACAGTTGCCAGTGAATAACACCCAAAAGCCACCAGCAGATATACAGGCATTGGCCACGCCAGCTCTCTATACTGAGGAGGCAACTGCAAATCAAGGAGGTCAAAGGTAACGAGTCCCCATGCCATGCCGATCAGCGACACACCAAGAAGCCACTCCAGAAGCTTGGTCATTGTGCTGAAGACTGTGGAACGGTGAAGGCCAAAATTATAATTGAAGAATCCACCTGTGAGGATAAATATGTATATATCACATTATCAAGAAACAATTTAATGAAATTCATTCGATTAAAAGCGACAATCACTATTTTTACAGCTAGTGCTTGAGACAGGCGACACCGCATGATAAAGAAGTTATAAATATTACAGAAAAATAATCGTCAATACACAGCTGTTGTTTAAAATTCGCACTGATCCTCACTCTTATTGAACAGCTAGCACGAATGCTACTGATTACAGGTGTTTACAATGAAATCTGACAACCAGCGCTAAACGGAGGCAATATTTAATCTTAGCAACAATGATCAGCTCCTACATATTATATACGCACAATAAAAATGCACTGATAATATAGAAATACACTCTCTCACTTGCTACTCAAAAGCCAGCTCACCACTTTCGGAATAACAGCGCACTTTGATGACGTGAGATGCCGAGAAGCATTATGGAATATGCAGTGTAAAGTCTTCAGAGTCCTGTACTACAAATAATACAAGACTAAATCCGACTAACCGATTATAAAGCCTGTTTCAATATTTGTTTGTTTTTTAATTATAACCTAACAAAAATATTTATTTATTTATTTATGCATGCTTTGCTTTCCATTCAAATGTCTTTAAATATAGCCAAGTGGGATTCAGTCGTTTATCGTTAATGCTGGCAGGAAATGAAACGCCAGTCTGAAGCTGTTTTTGTCTCTCTGTGTCTGGCGCTGTTGGCGCAGTTCAGTGTCTTGTGGATGCCGCGGGTGACATCCGCCCATCCAGCGCAGAGAACAGAAGCGAGTCCATGACGCATCACACCTCCTCACCAGCCAAAAAGGTATAAGCATCATCATCACTCACAGACAGCACCGATGCTCCTGAAAACATCACCCTCACAGCAAACGCGAGGTTATTCTTAGTGATGTTTACACTTGTCAGCGACACAGCGAGTGTCTCTTTCAAGACTGCAAGTGGTTGTAAAGAAGAAATGTAGCAAAGTAGGGCATTTGTGTAGGGGTTTGGCAGCTTTTTAGGCTCCTGTTTTGTTCAGCACTACCTTCATTTCATTAAGAATATTATTACCAAATATTTAAGAGCATAAATGACCATACAAATGGAAAATAATGTAGAAGAAAATCATGCAAAAGACATATATTTCTATCAAAGACATCTATTTATAGTTCTGCCCAGAAATGTAATCCACTCAACTCTATCTATCTATCTATCTATCTATCTATCTATCTATCTGTCTGTCTGTCTGTCTGTCTGTTATAAATATTACAGAAAAATAATCGTCAATACACAGCTGTTGTTTAAAATTCGCACTGATCCTCACTCTTATTGAACAGCTAGCACGAATGCTACTGATTACAGGTGTTTACAATGAAATCTGACAACCAGCGCTAAACGGAGGCAATATTTAATCTTAGCAACAATGATCAGCTCCTACATATTATATACGCACAATAAAAATGCACTGATAATATAGAAATACACTCTCTCACTTGCTACTCAAAAGCCAGCTCACCACTTTCGGAATAACAGCGCACTTTGATGACGTGAGATGCCGAGAAGCATTATGGAATATGCAGTGTAAAGTCTTCAGAGTCCTGTACTACAAATAATACAAGACTAAATCCGACTAACCGATTATAAAGCCTGTTTCAATATTTGTTTGTTTTTTAATTATAACCTAACAAAAATATTTATTTATTTATTTATGCATGCTTTGCTTTCCATTCAAATGTCTTTAAATATAGCCAAGTGGGATTCAGTCGTTTATCGTTAATGCTGGCAGGAAATGAAACGCCAGTCTGAAGCTGTTTTTGTCTCTCTGTGTCTGGCGCTGTTGGCGCAGTTCAGTGTCTTGTGGATGCCGCGGGTGACATCCGCCCATCCAGCGCAGAGAACAGAAGCGAGTCCATGACGCATCACACCTCCTCACCAGCCAAAAAGGTATAAGCATCATCATCACTCACAGACAGCACCGATGCTCCTGAAAACATCACCCTCACAGCAAACGCGAGGTTATTCTTAGTGATGTTTACACTTGTCAGCGACACAGCGAGTGTCTCTTTCAAGACTGCAAGTGGTTGTAAAGAAGAAATGTAGCAAAGTAGGGCATTTGTGTAGGGGTTTGGCAGCTTTTTAGGCTCCTGTTTTGTTCAGCACTACCTTCATTTCATTAAGAATATTATTACCAAATATTTAAGAGCATAAATGACCATACAAATGGAAAATAATGTAGAAGAAAATCATGCAAAAGACATATATTTCTATCAAAGACATCTATTTATAGTTCTGCCCAGAAATGTAATCCACTCAACTCTATCTATCTATCTATCTATCTATCTATCTATCTATCTGTCTGTCTGTCTGTCTGTCTGTCTGTCTGTCTATATCAGGACAGTAATGGCTGTGATTCTTCTCGTAATCTGTGATTCTTTGCTGCTTGGGCGTTTGCGTAGGAGTATGTGTTCAATGAGCAGAACGTACACGAAGCACAGTGAGAAAAAAAAGCAAGTTGGCCGTTCACAGTGTTTGATACTGCCAGTCCCCGGCTCTCCAGCTCAGGAAACCTGTGATCCAGCAGAGAGCAGTTGGCAGACACAACAGAACAGGCTGCACTGAGACGGAGTGGGGGATGGAGGGAGCGAGGGTGTGAGGAGAACAGCGCAGAGAACTTAAAGAATGAGATGAGAAGATGAAGGTCGGGCTTGGGACAGGGACACATTCTGCAGTGGCATCAGGCTGTAAAACTTTTTGTTTGTTTGTGTCCAACTGGGAATGTTGCTTTCAGAATGTGGATGCTGCTTTGGTGAAATGATAGAGAGAAAGTGGAGAAACTGTCCACTGGCAGCTGAATGAGAGGAGGGGCTGCTGCGTTTGGTGAGGAGCGCTACAGGTGCAGACTGGTCAGCCGTTGACCTTAATGGTGCATTAAATCCAGATGCTTAAATAGCTTACATGCTTAAACCCTGGTCCCCTGCCACCACCCATCGAGAAGAGATCTGCACTCTGAATCTGAGTGTGTGTCTGTGTGTGTTTGGGTAGGTTTACTTAACTACACTTTGGGTCTAAAATTATCCCCATACGCGCACTAAATTGGACAAAGACATATTTTGAGGGCATCCAAGGACACCCACAACTGGAAAAAACTGTTAAAAGATAAAGTACATAGCAAATACATATAATCAGGGTATTTTTTAAATGTTTGAAAGAAAACTCTTATGCTCACCAAAGTTGCATATATTTAATACAGTGAAACTATAATGTTGGAAAATATTATCACAATTTAAAATAACTGTTTTAAAAATATTTAAATGTAATTTATTCCTGTGATGACAAAGCTGAATTTTCAGCATCATTACTCCAGTCTTCAGTGTCACACAATCCTTCAAAAATCATTCTAATATGCTGATTTGGTGCTCAAGAAACTTTTCTTATTATTATCAATGTTGTAAACAGTTGTGCTGCTTAATATTTTGTGCTTCAAGATTCTTTGATGAATAGAAAGTTTAAAAAAAACAGCAAAAAAGGTACCTTTATTCAGGGTTTAAGACTGCACTGTGGACAGTCCATGGCTCCAGTGCGAGCCTCTAGGATGAGGCAGACAACATATGATTTAAAGGGAACAATTGCAGATAAGTGTGTTTATGAGAGAGAGAGAGAGAGAGAGAGAAAGGGAGGGAGGGAGACAATAGCGCCTGGCTCAAAAAAACAGGAACCCTCTGTTTCCTGTGCCTGAGATCTCAGTCTCAGTCTGCTCTTTTTCACACACACAAACACAGACACACACACAAAAAACAGTGAGTTCAAGCAGTGACATTATATTTTGTTTTACAAATTGCATGAAGGAATTACATTATCTATTAAAAGGCAATGGAAATGCATCATATTAGTGGTACTTTCTGAAGCAGGTTGGATTAGAGATTTGAACACACCCAAACCCTAAGAATTCAAGTCAATGTGATTTATTTTTCTTTGCAGTAACATGCACTGATGAATCATTTACAAGAAGACTAGGAACATGCATTAATAAAGTAAATAAGGCTGATTTTGATTTCATGTTGACTTTAAACTTCTGTGTCTAGTTTGTTGCACACTATTTGTGCTGCATGAGTGATGCCACAGATTGTGCGGCTAGTTGCAGAGAGGTGTGCTTTTCAAAGCAATTGTGCTTAATATTTTTACCTGTCGCATTATTACATGTGTGAAGAAAAAAAATCCCATAGACTAACAGAGACTCGAGAAATCACCCATAACACCCCAGCAACTGCATAGCAACATGCTGAAAACACCATAAATTTTCTTTCAAAATGTGAAAATCAAATTTGTGACACTTATTACGTTACGTAAATATTTTAACTGATACACAGATGTGATTTTGATGGAATGTATCTACACTATTCAGAGTCGACCTGGCTGGATCTGCCGTCATTTTCCAGTATCTGTGTATGTTGGAGGAATGGTCCCATTATTCTTGTCTTCAGTATGAAAACCATTCCTCAGTTAGGCTCGGTCCTGGCCAAATCCTGACACGGACGGTCAAGATGCCTTAGAAGTGTGTTTTCGGTCAGAGCTTTGATCTCCTATGCAGTGGGTTTTTAGGCATTTTGTTGATAGTTTTTCATTCAAGTCAAACGCTTCATTAATGAAGACAACTGAGCAAGGGACAGCTGGACTCATAAATATTCACAGTATGGGGGAAATATAAACAGCATAAATTCTAACCTGACATCATGTGCCTAAACACAAAGTCAGAAGGTGTATGCGAGTCTAAGCAAGGGATTTGTGCCCTTCCTGTCAAAGTCCACCTGTTTCTGCTTCTGCCGTGGAAAAAGACCAGAGAGACAAAAAGGTTGGAAAGAAAGACATATGGAAACAGGAATGTGCTTTCTCAATCCCCATGTCAGCAGTCCTATGGTCTATTTTAGAATCCCACCATGCATCTGTTTCTGCACAATTACAATATTGCTACATCATACGCAAAACATCTCCATATTATGGAGTTTTTTCGTCTTAAAATCGTCTTTAAAATTTATATTTATCCAGTAAGGATGCATTAAATTGATCAAAAGTGACAGTAAAGACAATGTTGCAAAAGATTTCTTTTTCAAATAAATGCTGTTCCTTTTAACTCTCTATTCATCAAAGAATCCTATGACAGTTTCCACAAAAATATTAACAGTGACAATAATTAGAAATGTTTCTCGAGCAGCAAATTAGAATGATTTCTGATGGATCATGTGACACTCAAGACTGGAGTAATCACAAGAATAAATTACATTCTAAAATGTATTTAAATAGAAAATTGTTAGTGCAAATTGTAAAAAAAATTCTCAATATTACTGTTTTTACTAGATTTTTTGGATGGATAGTAAGACCAGAAAATGTTGGATTTTTAAAAAACAGGAAATACTACTCAGTTCTACTTTGCGACAAACTCACCATCAACATCTGTACATAAATAATTAATCTCTGTCTCAGCAATATTTTTTTTTCCTGCTCTTTGAACTACTTAAAAACATCCCTTTTATGAAGGCTTCATTTTACCAAGCGGTGTTCAGTTTCTAAGAGTATAACAGTTTTGAGAAAAGCTGCATGTTTTGGTGCCAAGAGCTCTTCAAACCAAAAGAACCCCTGGTACTGGTAAAATAAATAAATAACTACAGCAGTTTTTTTCCCCCTAATTAAATTACACGTAATGCTTCAGTTTATGTTTTGAACTGAGATGACATTGAATTGATCATCTATAAACATATGTAAATGTTTGGTGCAAATGTTGTGTATAAGAATCCTCACAGTGCATTGTTTCATATTGAGACAAATACTGCATTCAGGGACTTTTGGAGACTTTTATTGTTCTTATTTTTTGTTTTTGGTGAAACTGAGGTCAATCACTGTGTTAGCAACAGTATAATGAATGGCCAATATCTCTAAACCTCTGTTTGAAATTACATTGACACTGAAACTTTAAACCTGGCTCACATCCAGGGATATGACAGCTAAAAGTTTGGTATCGAACTACAGTTTAGGAGCTTACTAAAAATCAATCACTTTGCATACTGTGTACTATATGGTAAACTATTGTCACTGCATAAGTGCTACATGAGCTTAAGTCATACTGCTATAGTTTAAAAACTGGTGTACTTGAACCAGTCAGATGACAGTATGAAACTCTTTTGTGTATTTAAAGCACTGAAGAGCCCTAGAAACTCTTTGAAGTCACAAATGTTTCAAATCTGAGCCATTCTGCACTTACAAACACGTCTGTGAAAGCCTATGTTTGCATACTTGATCTCTCTAGGAGTCCCAGAGTGTCACTTGAGCATGTAAAATGCCCCAGAGAGCAGTATTTTATTGTTACTGAATATAACTCGATATGACAGCATGTCTATTGAGAGCTCTTTTCGTCTGGCCATTTCACGCAGAACGAACAAAACTACAGCCTTCCTATATGACATACATTGGGACAGGAAACGCTCGGGGCTTGTACTATTCCTTTTAAAAGGAACATCTCATTCTTA